CACACACACACACACACACACACACACACACACACACACACACACATGGGTTGGAGGCTGCTTTTTAAAAAAAAACATGAGCCAAAAATCAGCTGTAGAAAAATACTTAACATGGTCTTAATCACATATTAGACAAACACTTTACTCCCCTTCTCCCCAGTTCTGTCTCTGTCTCTTTTCTTGTTGGAGGCTCCTGCCTCCAATATGCAGCTTTGGCTGCCTTGAACTTGCTCTGTAGTTTTCTCTGTTTGTTGCTTTGTTTGTTTTGTAAGTTGACTTCTTTGTCACAAAAGATAATAATTCCATGTTTTTTTTACTCTCAGAGTCTGCAGAGCATGACATCCAAGGCCAAGTGAAGAGATTTCTCTGCACTGAATGGACACCCCAAAGATAGTGCTATATTCATAGGTCAGTAAAGGAGGAGCCCTGTAAGTAATGGGTATATGGAGAACACACAGGAGATCTACAGTGCTGTGTGTGGGCTGCCTCTTGAGGATCACACTTGCAACTGTCATCTTGAAGCTGCCATCATCCCACAGTTCCTCAAAGTCAACTCATTCTTTTTGTCTGTTCTCCTGCCCCTTTGCTTTTGCTCTCCCTATCAGAAGCTGATTTATCAATAACTAACATGTCAGAAGTCAGGCTCTAGAATGACCAGTTCACTGTTGACTACATTTGTTGATTTTGAATGGGAACAGTCATTCTTATCAACATGTTCTCCCAACTATCAGTCTCTCTGTATCCACCTGGTCTCCTTTCTCCTTTGTGCTCTGTCACCAGAGGCTCCTGTGTAATAGCATCAACAACCACAACACCTACAATAACAACAACATCAACCACAACCTCAACAACCACAGTATCTACAAGAACCACACCATCATCAACAACCACATCTATAACTACATTCACAAGAACACTGATAACTACAACATCAACCACTGCAAGGATACCAACAACAATTACAGCAAGAACACTATCAACGACCACATCTGTCACCAGCACAAACACAGCAAAACAAGAGTCTTCTTTTTGTATAAGGAACAGGGTATATGAATTGGCATGACAAAACACAGTGTACAGCCTAGCCCAGCTTCTTATTCTGGTCTCACCATCAGCCTGTGGGAAGAGAGTACACACGTTTTCTTCGTTCGGTGTTTCATCTTATACTGTCTGTTGGTATAATGTTCTTTTGAAATGTATACACCTTACCCTTGTTCATTCAAATGCGGATCCCCTCCCCCCCACTCTCTGGTTTCAATCCGGATATGCATTGTGATATTTATTCTATGCAGCCTGTCTTAACTTTGTGTAAACAGGCCAAAATAAGGCAACTAGATACAATGTTGAGCAAGGAGAGGGGAGGAGCCAGAGGACAGGAAATGAGTGGGAGGAAAAAAGGGCGAGAGCAGAGCTAGGAGAGCAGAGTTGGGAAGGGATCTTGGAGCTACGTAGAGAATGAACTAGACCTAAGATTTTACAAAAAGCAAATATAATGGGTAAAATCTAAATGTTAGGAAACTATGAGGGCTTAGAGGTTTAGGAGGGAGTAACTATTGCCCAGCACTGTGTTCTAGGTTAACTAAATAAACCCAGTCTCTGTGTGGTGATTTGGTTATACAGCTCTTTAGGATTAACTGCAGCTTTACCAGAAGATATATCAGTAGTAAATATTAATCAACACACACAACAACTGTCTCTCTGCTTAGGATGACATTTGCCTACCATCCTCCTGTTTCCATCCTAAGGTGGATGGAAACTGACCCTTCATGACTGCTAATCTCTTAATTCCCAACAGCATCACCATTTCTAAGGAGAGCTCCTTCCAAGGTCTTTGACCCTGTGTTGCCTCATATGAGACTTGGATTCAAGTGGTCGTTTGTCAAAGTGTTGTTCTCAAGACTCTGTTCACAAGACCACAATGAGCAGCACAGGCACATACCACAATGATTAGATGCTCAGTAAATAGAGATTTGAGTATTTTATGTAAGTTTCAGATTTCTGCTTTCAAAATTTAGGAGTATTAGAATCCTGCCAACATCAATGACTGGAGGATTTGAGAAAAAATACTTTAAGAACTATGAAGTTTTGTCCAAACCTGGGATATGCAGGTTTTTGGGTGGAAGAGATTTCATTTTCTAGGAGCAGGCAATGTGAATCACTCTCACATACATCAACAGCCCACATGCATGTGCAACTGTGACTGTGTAATCTTTGAAATTGTGATTCTGTTTGTTGATATTGGTGGTTCTCTTTTCTATGTCCCAGTTTTGGTACAACACATTTTAACAAAGTTCTTACTTTGTGGATTGGGAGAAACTCTGCTCTGTCCTTTGCAGACAAGAGGGAGCAGAGATACTTAGTGGAATGGTCAATGGCAGTAGGTGTGACAGCTTTGGCTTGGAATTTGGCCTCACAATTTATATTCAGCCTATGGAGATAATCAGGAATTTTTCTACCTCTTGAAGAAAGGTAAAATCATACTGCTTAAAGACCATACCCAAGGCTCTTTGCTAACAAACTTTGTCTGGGCACTGAAATTAAGGTAGCATGGGGAAATTCATCAGATAAGTCAGTGGCTAATGATGAGAAACTGGTGACTGCACTAGCTACACAGCATTTTCTGTTCAATGGGGGTTAGAGTCCTATTCACATCTGGAGAAACAATGATGTAGAAGGTGTCCTGACCTCTGACACCTAGATCTTGTGACAGTTGCAAGAAGAATTCAGAAAAACTACTGTTTTGTAAGGAAGACCTGCACCGGATGTGTACATGGGGGATGAAGCATTACAGTGTAGGCCAAAGATAGAAAACTTCTGGAAATAATGAAGCCTTCTTAGTTCACTCTATGAGTGTATGAAGTTCTTAGAAATAAAAAATTCCTCCTTCCTTCTCCCTTTAATATTTCTTTTGGCAAATAGGGGATTTTGCATTGCTATGAGGAACTCATCAACCATGAGATGTGCTCTCCTTGTTTAAGCCTATTGTGGGGGAAACACAAACTACAAATGTTGTCTCCAGCTCTTGGATTTTGACTCATGTTTATTTGTTGATTACCACAGCTGGTACATGTGCACTGAGCTAAAAACAAAACAAAACAAAAATACAAACAAATACAGTACTTCTAAAACAACTGGGTTTGAATAGTTAAATGGGTCAAAAACACAACTAAGTCATTTGTGACCTGATACTCTTCCAAGGGTGTACTGGGGTGTAACTCATAAGTTTGATTTTGAGACTGATGGCATTCAAGACTCCGAAAGGCTCCAGTTCTACACAAGCACTAAGCATAGTCAGGGATGCAGAGGTGCAGGACCAACTGGTATCAGTGTGCAGAGATGGGCTCTTTCCATTGGTCCTTAAACAGGAAATCCCAGAGATTCATGGGAGTCTGAGGCAGGAGGATCACAAGTTAGAGACCAACCTGGGTTACTTAGGGAGATTCTGTCTGAATAAGACAGGGCTAAACTAAACTAGAGTATAAGGAAAATTAAGAGCATTTCTTTAAGCTGCCTTAAAGAAGTGTTGGTACTAGAAATGCTTCCCAATTAACACAGCTGTGTGCTGGACCCTGCAAAGTTTAAGAATGAAACAAATTATTGTACTGGTGCATTTTGGGCATAGTGCTCCCTGACAACAGCATGATAGAACAGAACCAAGCCCTAAGTTCCTCCGAGATCTGGAATCTGTCTTTGCCATGACAAATGAAAGCCTAGGGAGACAGAGGGTGGACATATGCCTTGATGCTTCTGGAGTAGCCACACCATGCGTGTGCCTCATTCTTCAAGAGAATGTTCTGTTCTATGGGGTGAATATGGATGTGTTATGTTCCTCAGCTGGCTTTTGAAAATCCTTGGCAAAGCCCAAAGATGTTACTAATATTTATTTTTTCTGGGAGTTGAGTGTGCTAAGTCAAATCTTACACAGACTTGTAAAGAATCAGAGTTTCAGCCAGAGTGTCCAACTGCTAAAAATTAAAATGTTATTTAGTTTGGAAGTAAGCCAAAAGGCGCTCGGTATTTCTATTTTAGAAATATCAATATTTGGAATTCAACTAGAAGCAGCTTCTGAAGAAATTATACTTTCATGAGAAAAAATCTGGAATCAAATATTTAACACAAAATTTAAGTTCAGAGCAAGGGTTTCCTTTCATTCTTGTCCTGACCAAAGGGAGCAGGGCTGACAGGAAGGCCTTGACACTGTCTGGAGTCACAAGGAGTAAGTGAAATGATGCACATTCCTATATGCATACATGCAGGTGTACAATACAGTTATGTAAGCACATGTGTGAGAACATACATGTAAGCTCACAATGCACACATGAATGAACATACATGAACTTGTCTGCACACACTCATTCACAGGCAAGCCCTTGCATGTTTGCACATAAGGGCACAACACACACATTCATGTGAGCACAGCATGTATGCATGCATATGAGAAACAGATAGGGAGAGGTGCCAGAGCTAGGTGATAAGTGCTGGGTCTCCAAGATGACCAGCTTGTTCCTCCTGTGTTTCCTCCTCATCTTCATGGATTTGGTGGCTGCCTTGTTCCTCATTGGTCCAGGGAAAACAGTGCCCAGCAGATGGTGTCTCACCATTCCCAGGAATGGTGTTTACTTGATGCAATCCTGGGAGAGGCATTCCCTGGAGCATCTTCCTGTTGGCCTCTGTCTCCTACCAGCAGGGCCCCCTGGCTGAATGACTGGCTGAATCAGGACTTTATTGCACAACAGTTTCAGACCGATCAACCAGCCTGTCTGTCTTCAAACTGACCAACTCTAAAGTAGGGGAGAAAGACTTCAGAGGCTCACAGGAAAAGACTGGATATTCAGCTCCCCCCATCTTTTTCTCTGTGAGTTTGCTGTGTGCAGGTCTTTCTTCACTTCCAATAGATGCCTTCATTCAACTTTCTTCCCTGCTTGAGTTTTCTCTGCTGCTACCCCTGGTGCTTCAGATAGCTCCTGCCTTTTGATTCTTTAACTGGCAGAGAAAACAAACTCAGTTGAGTCCACAGGCACACAATGTACACACGCAGGAATACATACATACATGTACACATTCAGTTGCACACACATACATGTGAACACACCCATGCATCCAGGGAAGCACTCACACACTTGCAAGCAAACAGGTACTCATTTTCCTTCTTCCTTAAAACAATCAGTTACAGCCAGAAACATGAGAGACAGTCACCAGTGTCTGGTAGACATACTTCCTCTTATGCTCCACGTTCACCGTGACTGGCTGATCCTTGAAAGCACTGCACATGCGCAACACTTGTCTGAGAATTTAGTACTGTGTGTGAAATCTCACTCAAAGCTCCCACCTGTTGAGTGGCTCTGTGTTTGTTGGATCAACTGCCATTGAGGCAGCTGGCACAAGGCAGCCAAGCCAGCCAAAGCAGGTCCAGGGCCATGCTGTCCAACAGAGCCCTCTGATATTCCTAATTAGCCCTTCAGCACACAAGAACACTTTGATATGTGATCCGACCCTCATTCTTTAGTAACATCCTGGACCATCAGCATTCTTTTTTTTCTTTGTCGTAACAGGAGTGGCAACTGACAGATGGCAGCAAGGTGGGTGTGGGTGTGCAGGATTGGGCTGCCTTCTGTGTTTGGTTTGGAGGCTCCTTTCAGACAGTGCCCATGTTTTTTCCTCACATCTCCCTGTGTGCTGCTTGGATTTGGAAGCCTGGCTTGTTTCCTGTCCTCATAGGTCCAGAGAGGACAACACCCAGCAGCTGATGTCTCATTAGCCACCGCTTGTGATGTTCACTCAATACAATCCTGGGAAATGCTTTCCCTGGAACACCAAGGCAGCTGGCAGGACTCTGACCCTAGAGAGAGTCACTAAATGTGAGAAAACACATGGCTGTGAGGAGCAGCTTGATGGCAGGGTGGGTTGGATTTAAGTGACTCTGACTGCCTCTGACTTCTTTGCTCAAAGTCTCCAGAGATGTGAGTTTAGCAGGTGCTTTGAGCTGCATTCTTCATTCTGGTCCTCTCCTCCCATTGGGTGGGGTTTGGGGGTAGGGAGAGCTCCCCCTGAATGCTTGGTGATCAGGCGGCAGCAATCACCCAGAATGAGGTATGTAGATTGCCCCAAGGACAAAGCAGGCATGATAACCAGAGACACTGTTAGCATTTAACTGACCCATTGCATGTCTTCTGGTGCCTCACACACCCCTGAAAAGATGCCTATGAGCTAAATAAGCAGCAGCTTCCTTGACTCACACACAAATGGTGAACATGGTATGATCAGACTGAGCAAAGGTGAGGAGGATGTTCAAACAGAGTTCCTTGGATGATGGTAACAAAGGGGAGTGGAAAATCCAGGTAATAGGCTGTCTTCCTGTTTTGGGGCAATGTGAAAAGACAGACATGACAAGGCTCCAGGCTTTGCTGTGCTTACCGGGATCCCTAGGGCCTTAAGAATGTTCATCTTGCACATGGGACAGGTGCGATGGTCTAGAAGCCAGGGGTCAACACAGGACTTGTGGAAAAGATGCCTGGAATGAGAACCGTACATCTTAGAGCAGTGGTAACTGAGGCACTCCCTAGACTACTACAGCCCATTGCCCTGTCCAAGGTCCCTCAACTGATGAGTGGCAGAGCTAAGACTCCTGGGCCAAAGTATTTCCTCATGCTATTTGACCTCATATCTGCCTGGATAACAAGAGTGCCCTGTGAGGTTTGCAATGGACTCTTCCAAGTTTTTTTTTATTTTTATTTTATTATTTTATTATTTTTTAAAGGTGGGGAGTGAGGTGGGGAAAAGGAAGAAAGAGAACAGGAAAAAGAGAAAGGGAAAAAGGGCTTAAAGGAGCCTTTGGAACTGGAATCAAGATGTTTGCCTTATATAGTCAAGGACCTCTGGGAGAGAAGCAGAGGGCGGGGTATGTCAGCCACACCTAGCAGTAGGTAGGAAACTTAACAAGCCGGCCCCCCTAAAACTTTCTTTGCCACAATCAGAAGCTATCTGCAAAGTAAAGGCTGATTCACATTCTTATGTGTCCTCAAACACAGAAGGGCAGAGGAGCTTCTGGAAACATCCAGTGACACGACAGGTATTTGAAGCTGTTCTGGAGGTCTGTTGGTTGACAAGTCAGAAAATGGAAAGGGCCCGTGGCTTCACTGTGGATAACATAACTGTCTCTCTAGCTCTCTGCTCAACTATATTGTCAGGATCAATGACAGCTGTTGTAAGGCCTCATCGGTCTGGCAGGGGAAGGCTATTCTGAAGACAATGCACTATCTGAACTTCCAGCCTGGCTCAGGAGATGGCTTGGAAACTTCATGGGTGGTTTTTCACCAGATGCTTTCTCACTCCAAAGGCTCCTCAAAGGGCAGAAGATGTTAGGACTTCCCACTGGGGTCAGGAACAGCTACAACTCTTCATTTTCAGGGGGAAGGGTCATTTAGAAGGTGCCATCCCTGCCCAGATCTTTTCAGTTCCATAAGAAAGGTGCACTATCTAACTAGAAAAGTTCATACAGAAGGACACAAATCCTGAGGATGCTTACGCTGTCCGTGGGATGGGACCAGAGCTGAGAGCTCAGTTGATAATGCTTTTGCTGTGCAAGCTAGAGGATCCAAGTTTGATCTCCCGGGGTATGTGTCAAAAGCCAGAGTTTGTAGCCTGTGCTTATCATCCTGGCCCTCATTTGGTGAAGCAGAAGAAGCTGGATTGCAAGTGGACACTGGTCAGCCAGTCTAAAAATGGCAATCCCCAGGTCTCAGTGAGAAATCTTGCCTCAAAAAACATGGTAGATAGCTCCTGAGGCATGACATGTGTGGTTGGTTGACCTTAGGCCACATCACTCACACATGAGCAGTACTGTGGCTGCATGGTTCTGTTTGCAGCTTCCTGCTCAGGATGCCCTGCAGATGCATTACTTGGAGCCATGCTTTCATGCATTCAATGTTTTCATGGATATATATATACTAATACTTGTTGTGTTCAACACTTAGAATTGGCAGAGAATGTTGGTGACTGTGCTCCTCTTCTAAGACTGAGGCTGATAAAATAACTTTGTAAAATAAAATTAAATGTAAGTAGATCACTCATTGAAAATTCCCAGCTGAGTACACAGTTTGGGGTGGGGATTCTGTCAGAGTTTAGGTACACTGACACCCGGGGAAATGGCAGGGCTGAGAGCTGAGTGGTAGTCACCCCACACATAAAGGGGAGAGAAGAATGTTCTTGGCAGAATGAGGGGTATGAGCAAAATGGCTCTTGGAACATCCAAGCTGAACAGTCTCACTGCAGTACTGTGGGGAAGACAGATCTCCCATATTGTTCACTGTTAGTAAAAGAGGCTGACTGATATCCAAGCTGGGTGAAGCTGGCTCCCTGCCCCTCCCCCAAAACAACGTTGACTGCTCTCTCCCCCAGGTTTAGAATCCATACTGAGGTTGTAAGGTTCTCTTCTAGGCCTGCTAACCAGGCTCATGGGAAAAACCTGCCATTTTGGTCCTTTGGCTATTCCTGGGTGGTGGATCTGTCACATGTTTTCTGCACATATGTTGGAGGCCTGTTGGCAGCAGGACCAACCTTTAGCTCTTCTTAACACTTAGAAAAGCTGCTTAATGTCCTCAACCATCTGTGAAATGGGGATCTGTCTACTTAAGCATGGAAGACTCTACCCAAGTCTCCACAGAGGCCAGCATTTACTTTTCACACTAGCATCCCACATATCTCTTTAGCAATGCCATGCTGCCTGGCTGTTCAGAGCTGTTGTGAAGATGTGGGCAGATAATCTTAGGATCTAGGTGGATCTTATCCAAGCACTTGAAGGGTCTCAGCATTCCACAGAGAAGATAATCCTGTTCCACTAAAGCATCAACTCCTGCCCAAAAGTATGCAACCCAAAGTCCACCCAGCAGAGCAACTTCAGACCTTCTAGCCCTACATCCAATCAGTCCAAATCTTGGAAATCCTCCATCTCCTCCTTTGTGTCACCCTCTGCCGCCCCTTCTTCCTGCTTCATAGCTCTGTGTATCTCTCATTAATTCTATTTCTCTGTAGACCCTTTAGCAGCACACTTTTCAATGAACGTACAAGTTCAATGAAAGCAAAGCCCTCCTTTGCTTCTCATCGCAGCACCCTGAGTATTTATGACAGTTCCTGGCAGAGCTGATGATCATGAAACATTTGCTGTGTGAGTGTGTGTTTATTCATTGAAGGGTCTACCCCCACCTCCACCTGCCCATGACTATAAGTTCCATTCACTAGCCTTCCCAGCCTCCTCTGTCTCATTTGCTTCTCTCTCTCCTTCCTTTTCCTCCTCCTCTTCCTCCCCCTTCTCATGTGGCTCCCCATTGATCATCTTGTGACTTTTCTCATTACTGTAATAACATCTAAACTTTTCTCCACCCTGCCAGGCTCCTCTGTTCTCTTCATCCTACTCACTGCTGCCAGATTTCTTTTCTGAAAATAGAGCGCTCATTATATCACCCCCTTCTTCCATTCTGTTCTGTGCTGAAACTGGGTACAAAGATGACTAAGACAAGGTCTCTCCCTACAGAGAAGTACCACAGTTCCCTTGCAGTTCTGTCCTATACACGGTGGAAAAAACATTGAAAATTCACACTCTAAGACTGGAGGTTTTCTCTCTTTCCAGTCTTAGGAAAGTTATCTCAGTGCTCCAAGATTCAGTTATAATTGGTAACGTTTTATCTTATGGAAATGGGGTTTGTAAGAGAATCAGAATCTCTTTTCCTCCCCCCTCAGGGTGTGTGTTTGTGTGTGTGTGTGTGTGTGTGTGTGAGAGAGAGAGAGAGAGAGAGAGAGAGAGAGAGAGAAAGAGAGAGAGAGAGACAGAAAAAGAGAGGGAAACTTTGTCATCATGGCACACATCCATAAGCTCACTAATGGGAAGCCAAGGCTGAGGAATTTTTAGCACAAAGCCAGCCTATGCTACATGTAAAGGTTCTGTCAAACATAAAACCCTACAAAACAAAACAAATAGCAAACAAACAAACAAACAAACAAACAAATAAACTAACTTTAACCAGCCAGCCGGCCAAACACGACAAAACACAAGTGCTAGCATTTCTTAACTGTTATCAAAAAATCCCATTAATAACACTTTTCTTTGCTTCCTCAGTGTAGCTGCAACATGGCTAGTCAGTATCCAGCTGCCACATTTTCTTCATCATAATAGATTATGCTCTCTTGGAACTGTAAGCCAGAATAAACCCTTTCCCTCCGAGTTGCTTTTGTGGGGGGTATTTTTATCACAGCAACAGAAAAGGGATTAAGACAGTGAGGCTGCAGAAGCACACTGCGCTGCTGAGATATGAATATGTCCTCATGGTTCTTACTAGTCATGGCAAACCAGGTCACACTTGTTCCCATACTCAGTGCTTTCTGTTGTTCATCCACCCTATATGATTTCCTGCCCAAATAGATGACATTTCTTTCCTCCTCTGGAGAAGAAGAAGCATTCCTTTTTTAACTCCTCATGTGCTTTTATAGACTAGTGACACTGCCACTATGGAGTTAAGATTAAGGTTCTGTGGCTTTGCAGGTTGGAGAGAGGGCTCAGCAGGTAAGCACAGTGGCTGCTCTTTAAAGGATCCAGCTGCTAGTCTCAGCACCCACATGGTGAATCATAGCCTTCTGTAACTCCAGCTTCAATTGAGCCAGTGCTCTTTTCTGGCCTCTGTGAGCACTATATACACACATAATTCACAGACATATATGAGGGCAAAACACCTTTGCACATAAAAATAAAACACAATTTAAAAAGAAAGATTTTTTTTTTGTGTGTGTGTGTGTGATTTGGATATTGGTGCAAGTTTTTCACCCTCTTTGGTAGCATGCATATTAAAAACTATGAGTCCCTTGGAATCTCATTCTTGGGGGCAACATCAGCTCCTTTGCAGAGCAAGCCAGTGCTTCTGTATGCAGCTGAAATGTCTCTTTGGAGTGTCTGAGTCATATTTTGAAAGTTGACATGAGAGTGAGATTTAAGTGAATAGTGTGCTACTGACAATGTGTACCGCTTATTGTATTTTAGGCACACATTATTGTTCAACAACCATTTCTTGAGGTAAAAACTGTTGGTGATCTTTGGAGGAGGAAACTGAAGTACATTGAAGCCAAGTCCCTAATGAGCTAGGAAAATGCAGAGATGGCACTCGAACCACAGAAAACCCTTCGCAGGAATCAGTGTGTTGACCTGGCTCTATACTCCCCTCTTCTCCTCACTGCTTAAGGGATGGAGGTCTTCACAGTTCCTAGAATAGCTTCATGCTTTTGCTTCAAGTGCTTATTCTCTCTGCATCCCAGTTTCCCACCTATAAAATGAGGATATAACACCAAGAGTCTAAACAGCTTAACAGTATCCTTCTAGTGTGCCAAATGGCCCTCTTTACGTCACATGGGAAAGCTACAAGCTATCTTTGTTGCAGCTACTTATATGTGACTGATACTGGCCAAACAGCTATGAAGAGAAAATTGAGAGCAGGTTATCAGCTCAGCTGCCTGCTGTGTTATCAGAAC